GGGACTCGTACAAAGTGCCACTAGTGATGCTCGAAGTTGTCCCAAGAAGCACAGAAAAGTCATAACATTACGAGAAAATATGCAATTGCTTGATATGTGCCATCGATGGAGGACTGCAGCTGCAGTTGCCTGCCATTTACAGATAAATGAATCCAGTGTGAGGACCATTGTAAAAAATGGAAATTCATGAAGCTGTCACTGCACCTATGCCAGCAGGCACAAAAACCTTGCACTTTTTACAAAATATATTTTTATCTCGTGTTGCAAATGCAGCTTCTATGTGACAGGTACAGGATTGCTATAAGAAAGGCATACCTATAGATTCTAATTTGCTTCGAGAAAAAGTGAAGTCATTACATGGCAACCTAAAGCAAAAGGAAGGAGGAGGAGCTCAAGCTGGGGAATTTAATGCCAGCAAAGGATGGTTTGATAATTTTAGAAAGAGTATGGCTTAAAAAATGTCAAGATAGCAGGAGAAGCAGCTTCTGGCCGACCAGAGGCAGCAGATGAGTTCCCAGATGCCAGGGAGAAAATCATTGAGGAGGCTGGGCACGGTGCCTCACACCTATAATCCCAGTACATTGGGAGGCTGAGGTAGGAAGATCACTTGAGCCCAGGAGTTTGAGACCAGCCTGGGCAACATACTGAGACCGCACCCCTACCAAAAATTTAAAAATTAGCTGGGCGTGGTGACATGCATCTTTAGTCCTAGCTACTCAGAAAGCTAAGGCAGGAGGATCACTTGAGCCCTGGAGTTTGAGGCTGTAGTGAGCTCTGATTGTACCACTGCACTCCAGCCTTGACGACAGAGAAAGACCCTGTCTCTAAAATAATAATAATAATAATGAGAAAAAGAAGTAAGCCTGTTCGTAAGTGCTAAGGAGAAAAATGGAGCAGGGGAAGGGGCTGGGAGTGGTGGGGACAGACATACAAAGGCAAGCACTATTAGCAGTTTCTTGAAAATCCTTCCCATTATCTCTGTATGATAGTTTGTTGTCTCTGTTGCTCTGTTTTTCCTTTTCTTTTTCTTTTCATTTTTTGAGATGGAGTCTCACTCTGTCACCTAGGCTGGAGTGCAGTGGCATGATCTCAGCTCACTGTAACCTCCACCTCCCGGGTTCAAGTGATTCTTCTGCCTCAGCCTCCCGAGTAGCTGGGACTACAGGTATGTGCCACCATGCCCGGCTAATTTTTGTATTTTTAGTAGAGATGAAGTTTCACCATGTAGCCAGGCTGATCTCGAACTCCTGACCTCAGGCAATCCACCTGCCTCGGCCTCCCAAAGTGCTGGGGTTAGAGGCGTGAGCCACCATGCCTGGCCAATGTTTTTGCTTTTCAAATTGGAAGATGTTGCATGCAATTCTAGGTTTCTGATTTCTCTTGGAAAATCAGATGATCTGACATCCACACTCCCACAAGCCTTGGTTGGCAGAAGACACCTGCCGTCCAGGTCAGTGCAGGCTCCTCTTGGCCTCTCTCCTGTCTCCCTTAGGCAACTCGACCCTGTGGGCTTTCCAGCTTCCTCACTCTTCTTTAGCCCATCCCCATGCTGCCTCCCAGCAACGTCTTCAGGATTGTTTGTGTTCTCCTGGGGCACCAGGAAGAGGGGCTCCCCACTCCCCACCTGCCCTCTTCTGGTGCTCGCTTTTTCAGAGGCTGCAGGCTCTCCTTGCTATTTTGCTCCTTGAGTCTGCTTTGAGCTTCCCTCGTGGTCTCTGCCGGTTCGCTCCATACCTCTGGGCATAAATTAGGAAAAGCCCCCCTACACATGCACATACGTGTGCACATACAGACACACACAGACACGCACGCACACAGAGACACAGACGTACACACAGACACACAGACACGCACGCACACAGAGACACAGACGCACACACAGACACACAGACACGCACACAGAGACACACAGATGCACACACACACAGATGCACACACACACACAGAGACAGACACACAGATGCACACACATAGACACAGACACACAAACATGCACGCACACAGAGACACAGAGGCACACACAGACACACACAGAGACACACAGCTGCACACACACACAGACGCACACACACACAGACACGCACACACAGACACAGACACATACAGACACACACAGACACACACACAGACATGCGTGCACACAGACACACAGATGCACACACAGACACACACAGATGCACACACACAGACACGCACACGCAGACACACAGAGACACACACACACAGACATGCGCACACACAGACACAGAGACACACACACACACACACACACACCAACGCACACATACACAGAAGAGGCCTGCTACTTTCTCACACAGGAAGCACCAATAGCTGTTGACCAAGAACGGCTGCATCCAGCTCTAGATTCCCAAGGAAAGAAAACTTAGAGGTCACCTTGAGCCAAGTGCCCAGCCCAAAGCAGCACTGTACTGCTCCGAGCAAAATCAGTTCCATTGGCAGGAGGGAGCGGGCACGATTGCTGGGCAGTCAACAGGTTCCATCACAGACGGCGACCCACTTTCCCCTTCCTCTCCAGCAGGATTTTCATCTTCTAGAAGTTCAAGGTGGAGACAAAGGGAAGTGATCCCGCAGGTGGTTTTATGTGCTGGACAGAGGCACAGACTCCCTTCCCCAGGGGCCTGCAAATCAGGAGGTACTTACACCTCGAATTAGGCAGAAGCCATCTGTTCACTCGTACATACACTAAATACTGAACAAACGTCCTGGACACTGTTCTAGGCACTGGGGATGCATCAGTGAACAACACAGACATCCCTGCCGTTCTGGAGCCAACATTTGAGTGGTGGACCCAGCCAGTAGACAGAATGAACAACTGCTAAAAAAAATTGGAAGAAGGCCGGGCACAGTGGCTCAAGCCTGTAATCCCAGCACTTTCGGAGGCTGAGATGGGCGGATCACGAGGTCAGGAGATCGAGACCATCCTGCCTAACACAGTAAAACCCGGTCTCTACTGGAAAATACAAAAAACTAGCTGGGCGAGGTGGCGGGTGCCTGTAGTCCCAGCTACTCAGGAGGCTGAGGCAGGAGAATGGCGTGAACCCAGGAGGCGGAGCTTGCAGTGAGCTGAGATATGGCCACTGCACTCCAACCTGGGTGACAGAGCGAGACTCAAAAAAAAAAAAAAAAAAAAAATTGGAAGAAAGTAGAGCAGATAATTAAGAAAGGCTTCAAGAAGATGGGGCTTCTCTGTCTCTATAGGGTGATTTGGGAAGGTTTTTGTTTTTGTTTTTTGGGAGTTTTTTTTTTTGTTTTTTGTTTTTGTTCTTTTTTGAGACAAGGTCTCACTTTGCTGCCCAGGCTGGAGCGCAGTGGTGTGATCATGGCTCACGCAATCTCAACCTCCCGGGTTCGAGCAATCCTCTTACCTCAGCCCCCTGAGTAGCTAGGACTACAGGCACATGCCACCACACCCGGCTAATTTTTGTATTTTTAGTAGAGACAGGGTTTTGCCATGTTGGCCAGGCTGGTCTTGAGCTGCTGGGCTCAAGTGATCCACCCGCCTTGGCCTCCCGAAGTGCTAGGATTACAGGCGTGAGCCACCACGCCCAGCTGGAAGTCTCCATGGAAAAACTGACATGGGAAGGAACCAGCCTCAGGAAGGAACCACCCCCGGAAGGACTGAGGAAGCATATCAGATATCCTGGATAAGGTTTAGTGCATCAGAACAGAAAAGAAGGCCAGTATGATCAGAATTTAGTCAGGGATGGGGAGAGACATCAGAGCCAGATCCTGTGGGGTTTATGGAGCAGGGGAAGAAGTTTGGATGGTGTTTTAATGCAGTAAGCAGTCACTGGGGAGATCTCAGTGAAAAAGTGATGGGCTCTGATTTACCCAGCCATAGTCTGCAGTAACCACATGGATTTCTAGCGAGATTCCTTCTGCGGCTTTCCTCCCCAAACTCCACTGGTGCTCATGTTGACTCATCTGTCATTTTCACTTCCTTTCTGGCAGATTAGCTGAGCTGAGCGAACAACAGAGCAGATGGACAATAGTCTGGCCTCTGCGTGAAGCCACCAGTTCACGGGAAATACAGGGGGCAGAGGAACATGTTAAGTGGTACCACAGGGATCCTGAAAGTGGGGAAATCCACAGGACAGGTGACCCTGTTCCTTCAACAAGTAAAGAGCATCAAAATAAATGAAGGTGGCTGTTGTAGAGTAAAGGAGACTTAAGAAAATACCTGCATAAGCAGAAGATAATTTCGAACAAACCAGCTCACAAAAGACACCTGCGAGACAATGACGGGAAATGTAATGCAGGCAGGGTACTGCATGACATTAAAGAATTCTTGTTAATTTAGATGAGTATGATAATGTTATTGTAGTAATTTTTTTTAAACCTTACCTACTAGAGATACAAGCTAAAGTATTTATGGGTGAAATGACCTGATGTCTGGCCGGGTATGGTGGCTCATACCTGTAATACCAGCACTTTGGGAAGCTGAGGTGGGCAGGGATTGCCTGAAGTCAGGAATTCGAGACCAGTCTGGCCAATATGACAAAACCCCATCTCTTCTAAAAATACAAAAACTTAGCCGGGCAAGGGAGCGCATGCTGGAATTCCAGCTACTTGGGAGGCTGAGGCAGGAGAATCATTCGAACCCTCAAGGTGGAGGTTGCAGTGAGCCAAGCATGTGCCACTGCACTCGAGCCTGGGGTGACAGAATGAGACTCTGTCTCAAAAAAAAAAAAAAAAAAAAAAAAAGACCTGATGTCTGGGATTTACTCTAAAACATTCTATTAGAAACAAAGAAGGTCATAAGGCGGGGTGAATAGATGAAATGGGAATAGGAACTAGTTAGTGGTTGTTGGAGCTGATGGGTGACTCAGTCTCCTCTCTGCCTTTGAGTATGTTTGCAAATTTCCATAATAAAAAGGTTTTTTTAATGAGTGAGGCTGTCAAGAAAAGTCACATGTTCCACTTTCTGGGAGCAGTAACACGGCTATCGCAGCTCACATTTTCCTTTTCTCCCATTTCAGCATGGCGGGGACAACTTCCTCGCCACCTCCGGCTGGCCAGCGCCCGCAACTGCTGCCTGCTCAGTGGTGCTGAGCCACTTGGTCTGGAGCCCCCAGGACAGCACCTGCCTCCTGAGGTTGTCCTGGCTCAGCTGTGCACAGCGATGGTGGAGAACTGGACTCCACAGGCTCACAACCTTCCTGTCAGGTTTCAGGGCCCAGCATCCTTCATCCTGGGCCTGGCGGCCCTGAACAATGGCTGAGGGGTGGGGAACCCTATAGAGTGACACCACAGCGTACCGGGCCAGCAGCACTCCAGTGCCCGTGGACTATGACCACCTATCGGGCCATCCCCAGCGATGGTGTGGACCTGGCAGCCAGCTGTGGGGCCAGGGTGGGCGATGTCCTCCCTGGGCCACACACAGGGGACTATGCTCCCTTGGGATTCTGGGCCCAGAATGGCAGCATGTCCCAGCCTCTTGGCGACAGCCCGGTCACCGCCACCGCCACCACCCGCCCCAGCCCCACCACCCCCGCAATGCCCAAGATGGGTGTACGCGCAAGGGTGGCCGACTGGCCGCCCAAGCGGGAGGCCCTGAGAGAGCAGAGCAACCCAAGCCCCTCACAGGACACAGATGGCACAAAGGCCACCAAGATGGCCCATTCCATGAGGAGCATACAGAACGGACAACCCCCCACCAGCACCCCAGCTTCCTCAGGGTCCAAAGCCTTCCACCGACTCTCCAGGAGAAGGTCCAAAGACGTGGAGTTCCAGGACGGGTGGCCCCGGTCCCCCGGCAGGGCCTTCCTCCCCCTTCGGCACCGCAGCAGCAGTGAGATAACCCTCAGCGAGTGTGACGCGGAGGACGTGGGGGAGCCGCGCGGGGTCCGGCACACGGGGGCGCTGCCCCTCTTCCGCGAGTATGGGAGCACCTCGTCCATCGATGTGCAGGGCATGCCCGAGCAGAGCTTCTTCGACATCCTCAACGAGTTCCGCAGCGAGCAGCCCGACGCCCGGGGCTGCCAGGCCCTCACCGAGCTCCTCCGGGCAGATCCTGGCCCGCACCTCATGGGGGGCGGAGGCGGAGCCGGAGCCAAGGAGGACTGCCACAACGGGCAGCCCGCCAAGGACAGCCTCCTGCCGCTGCAGCCCGCGAAGGAGAAGGAGAAGACCCGGAAGAAACCTGCGCGGGGCCTCAGCGGCGGGGACTCAGTGGACTCGTCCATCTTTCGGAAGCTAAGGAGCAGCAAACCCGAGGGGGAGGCTGGGCGGTCCCCGGGGGAGGCCGACGAGGGCCGTAGCCCCCCGGAAGCCAGCAGGCCGTGGGTGTGTCAGAAGAGCTTCGCCCACTTCGACGTGCAGAGCATGCTGTTCGATCTCAACGAGGCGGCCGCCAACAGGGTGTCGGTGTCGCAGCGGCGGAACACCACCACGGGCGCCTCGGCCGCCTCCGCCGCCTCGGCCATGGCCTCCCTCACGGCCTCGCGGGCCCACAGCCTCGGAGGCCTGGACCCGGCCTTCACCAGCACAGAGGACCTAAACTGCAAGGAGAACTTGGAGCAGGACCTCGGCGATGACAACAGCAACGACCTGCTGCTCAGCTGCCCGCACTTCCGCAACGAGATTGGGGGCGAGTGTGAGCGCAACGTGAGCTTCTCCCGGGCTTCCGTGGGTTCCCCGAGCAGCGGCGAGGGCCACCTGGCAGAGCCCGCCCTGAGCGCCTACCGCACCAACGCCAGCATCTCGGTGCTGGAAGTGCCCAAGGAGCAGCAGAGGACGCAGAGTCGGCCCCGGCAGTACAGCATCGAGCATGTGGACCTGGGCGCCCGCTACTACCAGGATTACTTCGTGGGCAAAGGTGACGGATGGCGGGTGCGGGGGAGGGTTGGGTGGGCCGCGGCGTGTCTCCGAGACCCCTACTTATTCATTTACTCTGTGCCAGGTACTGCTCTGGCACTGAGGATGTGGCAGGAACAGAGACCTCCCTTCTGGAGGGCTATGAGGATCCGGTGAGCAGAGCCACCCGGGCCTTAGCCCTGTGTCTGACACAGCAGCACTCCATAAACCTGGAGCTACAGGACACAACAGCTCTGCATTTACTCAGCACATAGGGGCTTGGGACAGCTCAGTGCCAGGCACTCTCTAGAGCCTAGGGATATAGTATCAACCAGCTTGAAATAAATATTCTGTCTTCCCAGCACTTTTAATGTTTTCATGGGTAAGACAAACAATAGAACAGGATAAATACAAAAAATACACAAGGGATTATAGGGTGCTAAATGCAGTGGAAAAAAGTGGGGAAGAAGGAAATGGAGTGTTGGGAGATGGGGGCAGATCTCAGTAGGGGATGGTCAGAGAGGGCCTCGGAGGCAGGTGCGGTTTGAGTACCGAGCTGAAAGCACCATGTGCAAATGCAGACACTATTCCCAGAACAGAGCAGCGAATACATAAGTTTTGGAACTGCCAGGTGCGGTGGCTCACGCCTGTAATCCCAACACTTTGGGAGGCCGAGGAGGGCGGATCACTTGAGGTCAGGAGTTCAAGACCAGCCTGGCCAACATGGCGAAACCCTGCCTCCTCTAAAAATGCAAAAATTAGCCGGGTGTGGTAGCACATGCCTGTAGTCCTAGCTACTCGGGAGGCTGAGACAGGAGAATCTCTTGAACCAGAGAGGCGGGAGTTGCAGTGAACCAAGATCGTGCCACTGCACTCCAGCCTCCAACTTGAGTGACAGAGCGAAACTCCATCTCAAAAAAAAATAGTCCTGGAATGTTGGAGGAACAGACAGGAGGTCAGTGTTGCTGGGGCAGAGTGATGGGGGAGAGTGGATGGAGCTGACGCAGAGGGGTGACAGGGGCAGGTCATGTGGGACTGTAGCAAGGACTCTCGTTTGTACCCTGCATGAGATGGAGCCACAGGACGGCTTTGAGCAGGGCAGGGCCCTCCTCCGACTCCTGTGTTCACGACCTGCCCCCAGCTGCATGTGGGGAGCAGACTGTGAGGGATGGGGAGAGGACAGGGGAACAGGCAGGAGGCTGCTGCAGTCATCCAGGCAGGAGATGATGGACATGTCTAAGATGGGAGCCCAGAAGTGGGGAAGAATCTTGCAAGCCACTACTGGATCCATTTAGGAGTGCGGTGATGCCATCTCTGCTCACTGCAACCTCCACCTCCCAGGTTCAAGCGATTCATGGGCCTCAGCCTCCCAAGGAGCTGGGACTACAGGTGTGCACCACCACACCCAGCTAATTTTTTTTTGTATTTTTAGTAGAGATGGGGTTTCACCATGTTGGCCAGGATGGTCTTGATCTCCTGACCTTGTGATCTGCCCGCCTCACCCTCCCAAAGTGCTGGGATTACAGGTATGAGCCATCGTGTCCGGCCTCTGGATCCACTTTGAAGGCGAAGCTGTTGATGTTTGGAGGGTGTTAACATCAGGGAGAGATGGGCTTCATACATGATTAGTGCTGGTGAGGCATTCCCAGGAGACAGCATAGCGTATTGCAGAGACCATAAACCCAGGCAGCTTCAGGGGACAGCAGAACACTGCAAGAGTACGGCATGCTAGGCAAAGACTAGGCCATTCCTGCCCGGTGCCAGCTGACTGTTGTCATGCAAGACATACAGACAAATCTAGTGTTACCAGCCTTTCCAGTTTTTCAAGATTCTCCTGAAACTCAGATTTTTTAAAATATAGACTTTACTGATTTTTAAATGGTGGCAGCTATAATGATTCAGAATTATTAGCTGGGTATGATGGCTTATGCCTGTAATCCCAGCACTTTGGGAGGCTGAGGCAGGCGGATCACTTGAGGTCAGAAGTTCAAGACCAGCTTGGCCAACATGGTGAAACCATGTCTCTACTAAAAATACAAAAAAATTACCCAGGCGTGGTGACATGTGGCTATAATCCCAGATACTTGAGAGGCTGAGGCAGGAGAATCACTTGAACCCAGGAGGCAGATGTTGCAGTGGGCCGAGATCATGCCACTGCACTCCAGTCTGGGTGACAGAGTGAGACTCTGTCTCAAAAAAAAAAAAAAAACCGAATTGCTTGTAACTGCTAGTAACAGGCTTAAACAACATAGAAGGGACTCTCCTGTGAAGAAAGCCAGAGTTCAGCAGCCCAGGGCTGGTTTGGTCAGTCTTCAGCATCAGTGGAACATCAGCCTTAGTGCATAGCATGATCCCCCGCTGCCCCGCACCAAGATAGCTGCTGGAGTTACAGGCATCACATCTGTGTTTCCAGGCAGAGAAAAAGAGGAAAGGGTAAGGACAAAAAGGCAGACTTCTTGTCAAGTCAACCCCCTTATGCCGTTATGCCTAGTGTTTCATTATTGGAACAGTAAGCATGTGGGAGTTATAGCCTACTGCTCAAGGTCATTGCCAGGGTCTAAATTTTTACTCCTGGAAAAATCCACAAAATTGCAGTCTCCAGCATAAATGGGTTAAAGAGCTTTCTCAGAAGCCCCATCCAGCCACTTCCACTTCGTGACCACACCTATGTGCAAGGAGGCTGAGAAATGTAGATTTTTAGTTAGACAAAGTTTCTCTTTTCCAAGAATAGAGGGTTTTTCTTAAAAAAAAAAAAAAGAAGAAGAAGAACTAGCAGCTAGTACTCCACAGCAACTGGATTTGTTGTTGTTGTTGTTGCTTTTTCTTTCTTTTTTTTGAGGCAGAGTCTCGCTCTGTCACCCAGGCTGGAGTGCAGTGGCGCGATCTCAGCTCACTGCAGCCTCTGCCTCCCAGGTTCATGCGATTCTCCTGCCTCAGCCTCCCAAGTAACTGGGATTACAAATGCTCGCCATCACACCCAGCTAATTTTTGTAGTTTTAGTAGAGACAGGGTTTCTTCATGTTGGCCAGGCTGGTCTCGAACTCCTGACCTCAGATGATCCACCTACCTCGGTCTCCCGAAGTGTTGGGATTATAGGCGTGAGCCACCACACCTGGCTCACAGCAACTAGTTTTTTAAAAATATTTAAAGTAATGTCCTCATCAAACATAACAAATGTCAATTAAGTTGTCCCATGGGACACTGGAGCTCCAACTTGGAGTCTCTAGAGTTCCAATTTGGAGTCAGCCCTCAGTTTGGGGTATCTGTTCCATAACTGATCCATGTGATACGTTTTACCCTTCAGACTGCATGACAAATGAAGATAATTATATCAATATCACATGCACAAACAAAATGACACAGAGATTGAAAAGAAAGGGATCAAAAAGAAGTTCCAAGCCAGACACGGTGGCTCACGATTGTAATCCCAGTACTTTGGGAGGCCGAGGCGGGCGGATCACGAGATCAGATCGAGACCATCCTGGCTAACACAGTGAAACCCCATCTCTACTAAAAATACAAAAACTTAGCCGGGCTTGGTGGCAGGCGCCTGTAGTCCCAGCTACTCGGGAGGCTGAGGCAGGAGAATGGTGTGAACCCAGGAGGCGGAGCTTGTAGTGAGCCGAGATTGTGCCACTACACTCCAGCCTGGGCGACAGAGCAAGACTCCGTCTCAAAAAAAAAAAAAAAAAGAAGTTCCAGACAGTTGCTTACAAGGAAATAGCCAATGAGGCAATATCAGTATCACATGAAATAGAAGTACTCATCATGCAGCTTTAAAAAAAAAAAAGAGTCATTTTATTTTTAAAAATTTCTTTGTAGCACTGAAAGCCGTTCAAGAAAAAAATGTCCTGACCAAGCACAAGGGCTCCCTGAACGCCTGTAATTCCAGCACTTTTGGAGGCTGAGGCGGGATGATCACTTGCCCCCAGGAGTTAAGAGACCAGCCTGGGCAACATAGTGAGACCTCAAAAAAAGGTTAAAAATTTAGCCAGGTGTGGTGGCACATGTCTGTAGTCCCAACTGCTGTGGAGGCTGAGCTGGGAGGATTGCTTCAGCCCTGGAGGCAGAGGTTGCAGTGAGCCATGATTGCACCACTGCACTCCAGCCTGAGTGACAGAGCAAGACCCTGTCTCAAAAAAGAAAAACTATTCAATAATATTTGTTAAAGCACAGTAAAGAATTTATTCAGAGCCGGCCAGGCGCGGTGGCTCAAGCCTGTAATCCCAGCACTTTGGGAGGCCGAGACGGGTGGATCATGAGGTCAGGAGATCGAGACCATCCTGGCTAACCCGGTGAAACCCCGTCTCTACTAAAAAAAAAAAAAAAAAAAAAAATACAAAAAACTAGCCGGGCGAGGTGGCAGGCGCCTGTAGTCCCAGCTACTCAGGAGGCTGAGGCAGGAGAATGGCGTAAACCCGGGAGGCGGAGCTTGCAGTGAGCTGAGATCCGGTCACTGCTCTCCAGCCTGGGCGACGGAGCGAGACTCCGTCTCAAAAAAGAAAAAAAAAAAAAAAAGAATTTATTCAGAGCCATCACAGTAGGCATAGGGACCACTGCGATGGGGTCTGGCAATAGGGAAGAGAGATTGGGCTTAGCTCTGAATACAGTGTGGTCAAGTGGGAATTTATAGCCAAGAGTCAGGGTGGGGGTCAGCGGATGGAAGAAATTACTAAGAAGAAATGTCAGAGGTAAGAAAGATTCTGGCTAAACCAACCTAATATTGCTGATGACACGCCAGGATGATCCAACATCACTTTTGGATGGTGGAGGATGAGGAGCTTGATCAGATGTTGAGGATGTCCAGATATTAGGTTAAGGTTGGGGGGCAGGGTTCTTGCTAAACTGACTTAGCAGGGTTCTTTGTTAAAACTGGATTTTACAAGGAGGTGCACAGATGGGCCTAGGAGAATATTCCAAAGCCCGACTCAAGTTTGGCCAAGCAAAGAGTCTTTGTCAAAACTAGTAAATAAATTAATCATTGGTCAGTGTTTATTGAGTGTCTACTATATGCTAGGATTTGCAAGGAGCTAGATATGCATTGATGGGAAAAGCAATGACCCCTGTAGCTGCTTCAGGAATAAGCTGGTATCTGCGATCTGTAGATCTGTAGAGTACAATGTTTATTCCATACTCTGATCAGCTGGAGATTGTTGAACCCCCTGCAGATGCTATCCTGATTGGGGCCCTTAATTAACACACAATATTTTGCCTTTAGATTAGCCTTCGATTTGCCAAGAGCATCTCATGAGAACAAGAACCGTCAGTTAAACATTCAGCGTACCTGTACAATTTCCGGTGGTGGGTGATGCTGACTTTGTGGACTTGGGTCAAGACAGACCGCTGGTGGATACCCACACAAGCATGAGACACTTGGGTTATACATCGGGAAGAACTGTTTGCCTGGAACGGTTATAAGATACCAGCATGTTTTAGAAAAAAAGAGGAGGCAGCTGTCAGGTAGAGGAGGGAGCAGGAGGCGTGCCTCATGCTGGCTAAAGCCTCTGTTACCCTAAGGGAAAAAAGAGCAGTGTTGAAGTTACCTAGTAAAGAAACATGGTGAGATAAAGGCGATGCCTGGGGACCCCTATCGTGGTCCCTGACAGGCGCCAACGACTGGGGCTGGTCATTGCCAACACTCATCATGTGAGTGCTATGTGCCTGGCACGGTGCTCAAGGCTGGGTCCACCTTTAACTTTTATTTTATGGCTGAAAATGCTGTCTAGCAACTTGGCTGGGGCCAGACATCTCTTCAGGGGCAGAGCCCAAATGTCAGGAGGCTCTCTAGACTAGAATCTTACTTAACAACTTCACAAGGGCTAATCAGCAGTTAAACCAAGTGAACAATTTGCAAGCACGGGATGAATCACAGTGGTGCTGGGTTGATGACATGCCATGCACCGTAGTAAGCGTTTCATGTCTGTAGCTTCATTTTGCCTTCACATCAGCTCTCTGAATTGTGGGTGGCATCAAGGCCCCGTTTTCTCAGACGAGAGTACTGAGGCTCAGAAAAGTTCTGTGGCTTGGCAGAGGTGGTACAGTAAGGTGGGCTTTTGCCTCTTACAGTTTCTCCACTGGGGGTGTCTGTGACCAAGGCATGAGGTTTGTGTGACCAGCATCCCACAGATTGCACAGGACCCTGCCTGATCACCCTATCTGCAGGCCTGCTGGGCATCAGGGCCCCTCCTTCCCAGACAGCTGAGCCTGAACTCGCCTGCTCTTCCTTCTTAGAACATGCCAATTACTTCGGCGTGGATGAGAAACTGGGGCCAGTGGCTGTGAGCATTAAGCGGGAGAAGCTGGAAGACCACAAGGAACATGGACCTCAGTACCAGTACAGGATCATCTTCCGGACCCGCGAGGTAGGTCCCATCACTCTATTCTTATTAAAGAAATCATAGCCACTCGCATCTCGAGCTAGGTTCTGGGGGCAAACACTTCCCTGGCTTCATCTCATGGAATCTTCCCAGCCACCCCAGGAGAGCAATCCTGTTAGTCTCTCCATCTCGTAGAGGAGGAAACTAAGACTCAGAATTTAAATGACTTCTGGCTGGGCACGGTGGCTCACACCTGTAATCCCAGCACTTTGGGAAGTGAGGCCGGTGGCTCAGTTGGGGTCAGGAGTTCAAGACCAGCCTGTGGTCAGCCATGGCGAAACCCCATCTCTACCAAAAATACAAATTAGCCGGGCGTGGTGGCACGCGCCTATAATCCCAGCTACTGGGGAGGCTGAGCCAGGTGAATTGCTTGAACCTGGGAGGCAGAGGCTGCACTGAGCTGAAATTATGCCACTGCACTCCAGCCTGGGTGACAGAGTGAGACTTTGTCTCAAAAAAAAAGAAAAAGAAAGATAAATGATTTCTATAGGATCAATGAATCAGTGGCCAGACCAAGATTTCAGTCCAGGGTGTCTGACTTCAGAGCCCAATATTACAAAACCTGTTTGCAAGAGATTAACTCTAATAAGCATAAGAAATAAAAGGGAAGGAAAGGGATCATTTTAGGATCATGAGGTGTCCTACATAATGGGAAGAATTAAGGCAACAAGCCTCAGGCGGGACAGGAATTGGGGACTGTCAACCACAAGCACTGCTGTTAGGCCAATCAGCTCAAGGTACTCCCAATGTGTCACTTTCCATTCTGAGTAGAGAAGCCCATGATCCTGGCTGGAGGCCTTCCGCTGGATTAAAGGTCAGCTGTAGCTAGTGGGGAAGTCCTGTTGGGGCACCCAACATGCTCTATTAGTACTCTAAATTGTAAGTGACAGAAGTCTACTTCTAACTTTCTTAAGTCAGAAATAGCATTCATGGTTCGTGTAACTGCAAATCTAGAGGTAGGGCAAGCTTCGGGCATAGCTGGACTTAGAGACTCAAATGCAGTCACCAGAACTCTGCTTCTTTAGCTCTCTGCTTGGCTTTGCCGTTTGCATCATGAATGTCATTTTCTTCTGCCACTAACAAGCTCTCACCGTGTCATGGGAACATGGAGATGGGCTGCTCAAACCTACATCTTTACGCCTTCTCGTCCAAAAGGCTCAGACTGGCCAGACACAGTAGTAGTTCATGCCTGTAATCCCAGCACTTTGGGAGGCCGAGGCAGGCGGATCACCTGAGGTCAGGAGTTTGAGACCAGCCTGGCCAACATGGTGAAACCCTGTCTCTACCAAAAATACAAAAATTAGCTGGGCGTGGTGGCAGGCGCCTGTCATCCCAGCTACTCAGGAGACTGAGGCAGGAGAATTGCTTGAACCCAGGAGGCGGAGGTTGCAGTGAGCTGAGATTGTACCATTGTCCTCCAGCCTAGGCAACAAACGCAAAACTCCATCTCAAAAAAAAGACTTAGACAGATTTATCTGGGAAGAACTCTGGCTCTGCTTAGATCACAAGCGCAATCCCTGGGCCAGTCGCTGTGATCAGCGTGGTAGAGAAAACTGGCCAGGTCTAGCACATGTTACCCCCCACCCTGGGTCCAGGGGCAGGGCCAGGCACTATGATTGACAGTTCTACCAGAGCTCCCTGGAGGAGGAGGCAGGGCAGATCCTCAGCAAAAAGAGGGGACCCAGGCAAGCAGAAATGACAGAAAGGTCCAGAAGACCCAAATAAGGAAGACCTTTCAGAAAAGGGGCAGTCACCAGCTAGGCAGGCCCTCCAAAATGGGTCTCCCTCAGTCTGCATCGCCCCAGCCCCTTGGGCCTGGCCTTTGCCCAGACATGGAAGCCTAGCAGGTTGAGGCTGCCAAGGACTTTTGTGGGGCCAGCCAAGTCCTGGACCTCATCCAGGCTGGCAGATGCAGCTCGGAGTGCCCTCGCCCCATCCCCTGACCAAGACCTTCCCACTGTGTTGGGGGAATGGGATGGCACGGAGGCTTTGCAGCAGCCAGGAAGAGGCAGCCACAAAACCATGTGCGCCAAACCACAGGTGGTCACCAGCCTCTGTCTCCCCAGCCCCTCCTCCCTCTACCCACCTTTCTGGCCAGATGAGCACCAGAGCAGAATGAGAGGTGACAGCTCCCACTGCATCCGACTGTTTTAGGACGTACGGGCAACTGCTGGGTGAAATGACGACTACAGTCATATAAATAGGCTGGGTACAGTGGCTCACACCTGTAATCCCTGCACTTTGGGAGGCCAAGGCAGGTGGGTCGTTTGAGCCCTGGAGTTCAAGACCAGCCTGGCCAATATGGTAAAACCCTGTCTCTACTAAAAACACAAAAAATTAGCTGGGTGTGTTAGCGCACACTTGTAGTCTCAGCTGCTCGGGAGGCTGAGGCATGAGAATCTCTTGAACCCAGTAGGTGAAAGTTGCAGTGAGGTGAGATCGTACCAGTGCACTCCAGCCTGGGTGACAGAGCGAGACTCCGTCTCCAAAAAAAAACTAAAGTATATATATATATATATATATATATACACACACACACATAAAATATTTATTACAAAGATTATTATTACTGCAAATCTTTATACTGTGTGTCAGGCAATATTCTATACCTTTTATATCTATTAACTCACTTAAATCTCATCAGGATTCTAGGATGAAGACACTCTTGTCCTCATTTATAGATGACAGACAGGCACAGAGAGGTGAAGGGACTTGCCCAAAGCACCCTCCAGGGTGTGACAGGGCAGGGTGCCTGCCTGTGTTCTGGCCACTGCACTCGGCTGCCTCTGGGGTTTGACTAAGTCAGCTTAGACTGCACATTGGACCCACTCATGAGTTAGGAGCTCAGCCAACTCAGTGCTAGCATTTGTGTGAAATATATATATATATTAAATGAAAATATAATAGGCCGGGCATGGAGGCTTACGTCTGTAATCCCAGCACTTTGGGAGGCTGAGGCAGGTGGATCACCCAAGGTCAGGAGTTTGAGACCAGACTGGCCAAAATGGCAAAACCCCGTCTCTACTAAAAATACAAAAAAAATTAGCTAGGCGTAGTAGCAGGTGCCTGTAATCCCAGCTTCTCAGGAGGCTGAGGCAGGATAATCGCTTGAACCTGAGAGGTGGAAGTTGCAGTGAGCCAAGATCACTCCATTGCACTCCAGGCTGGGTGACACAGTGAGACTCTGTCTCAAAAAAAAAAAAAAAAAAAAAGGCCGGGCGCGGTGGCTCAAGCCTGTAATCCCAGCACTTTGGGAGGCCGAGACGGGTGGATCACGAGGTCAGGAGATCGAGACCATCCTGGCTAACCCGGTGAAACCCCGTCTCTACTAAGAAATACAAAAAACTAGCCGGGCGAGGTGGCGGGCGCCTGTAGTCCCAGCTACTCGGGAGGCTGAGGCGGGAGAATGGTGTGAACCCGGGAGGCGGAGCTTGCAGTGAGCTGAGATCTGGCCACTGCACTCCAGCCTGGGCTACAGAGCAAGACTCCATCTCAAAAAAAATAAAAAATAAAAAAAAATAAAAAAAAAAGAAGAAGAAAGAGAATACAATATATAGGCAGGCATGGTGGCTCATACCTGTAATCCCAGCATTTTGAGACAGGTGGATTGCTTGAAACCCGGAGTTCAAGACCGGCCTAGGCACCACAGTGAGACCTTTGTCTCTAAAAAATAAAAAATACCAGACTATAGCATTAGGAGAAATACCTAATGTAAATGATGAGTTAATGGGTGCAGCAAACCAGCATGGCACATGTAATACCTATGTAACAAACCTGCTCGTTGTACACATGTACCCTAGAACTTAAAATATAAAAATTAAAAAATATATATACATCAGACTATGCCACACATACTGAGAGTTGTGAGACTTTAGTGCATGGATACTGGGTTATATAATTTTTTTGCTGTGATTTCCTGTTCACTAAGTTTGAAACTGGCTTGATGCCATTCCCAGTGTATACCTGCTCCCATCTACTTCCTACCCCCAGCACCTACAAAACTAGCCGTGGGGGACTCTGGTCCATCCCAGGCGACAGCACGGGGACACTTTGGGTCTCACAGCCACAGGCCTGGGATCCATCCATTCCATAGACGTTTGCTCAGTGCTCCCCCGTCCCAGCTCTATGCTGGGCATGGGGGGTACCATAACAAACAAGGCAGCAAAGATATTCAGGGGAGTGGATCTTTGAGGAGGAGACAGCAGGACACCAAACACCTTAGCAAATTACACTGTAGGTGCTGCCTATAGTGACAAGGTGGGGAACGAAGCAAGGAGGAGTGATGAGTGTGGCAGGTGCTTAGATTTTTAACAGGAAGGTCAAGAGAGGCCTCACTGGGAAGGTAACGTTCTAGTAAACCTAGAGAAGGGGAGAGGGAGCCGTGTGGACAACTGGAAGAAGAGCATTCCAGGCAGAGGGAACAGCCAGTGCAGAGGTCCTGAGGCAGAGCCAGGCTCCATGGGTTGGAGACCTCATATGAGTCCTAGTTTGGCCACTCAGCAGTTCTAGAACCTTGGGCACATGGCTCATTTCCTCTCAGAGCCTCAGTTTCCCCCTTGGAAATTCTTGGCTTGCAGAACTGTGTTGTGGGCTCGGTGAGGTTGCACATATCAAGCAGGCAGTGCTGGGCCTGAACTTGACAGAAAATGATTATGAGCAGTACCAGTGTTACAGCGGACGTTCTTTCCCAGGAGGTCAGAGGCCCATTCTGGGGAGCATGGATTGAGCTCACGGATGGGGTTCTGTCCTTCTCATGTTCACACACACATGCCTTGGGGTCCTGTAAACCAGGGCATGGGGGCCAGAGCGAGAGGTCTGGGCTGCCTTCCAAGCCAGCAGGCCTGCCCCAGATGGCCGCCCCTGGCTGCCAAGCGACAGTCTCAAGTGGACCCGCATCTCCCAGCAGATGGGATATGAGCATTGTCAGTGCCAGGCTCCCCACCGAGGCAGGAACAGACTTGGAGCTGGGCTTTGGCACCTCTCAT